AAGACCAAATCCTGGAATCAAATCAGAGTCTCGTTAAATAAGAAATTATGAAGATTAAAGACTCAAGACTGCCATTTTTTTAATGAATTTCTCACTATTTTGAGGCTTAATTACCTACTTCTCTACAAATAAATTGTAAGAAAAATGCAAAAAAGTTACCAATTGTGGGAAGCAAAAGTGCGAGTTGAGTTCTGTGTTTACTGCCCAACAGAAGATGTTTTAGTTGGGAAGGGAGGGGTGGGTGGGGCTTTGAACTGAGAGTTACCCAGAATTGTCATTTAAGCTTGGACTACTTAGTGTTGCCGTTGCAGCTAAGTTTAAGTTTATGACGAGTTTAAGACTAATTAATAAATCCTATTTATGCAGTGATTTGTTACTTGAGACTGTGTCTCACTGATGAAGCGAGATGTATATTATTTTTGGGGAAGGTAGTGTAGCTGAGACAGCACATGCTGGAGCCAATGATGGAGACAATATTGAGATATGCTCAGCAGCAGAAACAAATGTCAAAATTGTGTGACATGTATATATTAAAAGATAAGAAAGTTCAGAGAATTAAAGTCATGCTCTGATGAAACATTAAAAGGAGGACGCCATCATTGTTATTTATTCAGCCATACTAGATCTGTGGACGCCTCTGAGAGGTTTAATTTGTATTAAGTATAAATATATTTCAGAGGTCTTTTGGATTACTCTAAATATTTGGAATCAATGCTTATAAGTACATTGTTTCAAAATTGTGCTAGAGCTTAATTTTCACTTCTTAAACGCTCTTCTCAAAGAGAGAAATGATGAAGACTTTGACATAAGAGCAGAGTGTTTCATGATGTATTTTCTTTCCAACACCCTTTCCACATACGCAATTTCTTTGTTCCTGTTAATGGAGGCAATTATTTCTTGAGTTGCACTTCCAATTGTAGTACAACTTTCCAAAACCATAGAAACAGCATGAAATTTTAATGTAAGACATGTTGACAGGACTCTGAAAAATAAAATATAACTGAGAACTGTGTGAATGTTGAGCTTGTATGTAGTATAGTAGAAGAGAAGAATCCTAATGTGAAGTGTATTCAATTGTAAATTGACTTGTAAATAAAATACCTCATCCACGTATGGTCAGTCATTCATTTCTAAAACCAGCATACATATTTACAAACAAAAAAGATAAGATTTTCAAAAACTACAGGTACACAACTCAAAATAATACAAAACACAGAAGGAGACGTGAAAAAATATGACCATAACAGTATGACCCATTTCTTTCACAATGTCTTAAGCAAGGATATAAAATAGATTCATTGTTACTCATTGCATTTGGCTTCCCATTCTGAGGGAGTGACGGCTATGGATGTTAATGCATTAGTAAAGTCATTCAATGAGCATGGCTCATTGCACCCTGGGAGTTTTAAGTTGACTGGATCAGTGGTTGAACTTGAATTCATATAAAATATCTGGGACAAAAAAATCAAATAAAGCTGTGAAAGTTTTTTTTTAACTTTCACCGTCATCTAATTATGAGGGCATCTCTCTCACCTTAACATAGTCAGTACTTTCTCCAAGTCCTGATGGTCCAGCGTGCAGCTCAAACAATAAAGCAGCTCCGATTTCTGGTTTTGGTGCATCATTAAAGCCAAGTGACCTCATTACGTTGATTACTGTTGTGTCATGTCCAGCTATGAGAAATACTTGTGGTTTTTGTTCAGCTTGATTGTGATTATTCTGCATTTTCACCTTCACATCATCAAGTAGAGGGCCTGTAAGTACACAAGTAATAATCAAAATAACACTCCACATTTGGCTTTATCTGAGCATTATAACTTGCACTTTCCTCCCATGAAGCGTTTCATCTCTAATGTGTCAGTGAACACTCCTAATGACCTGGTGGCAATATTTTTCATTGGCTGCGGGTAAACATTTTTAGTCCATTGAGGAAGTTGATGCCCATTAGCTTCCTGTAAAAGACAGAACATGTACCCACTATAGGAGATATCGAAGACAATTTAAAATTTTGCTCATTCCAAAAGTATAAAATTTCAACTATACATATTTACAAACCTCTATTTCAATGGTATTAAATAGAAATTCCACGTCCAAAACAGATGATATGTTCTGGCCAGAATGAGTAGAAATATATTGATACAGATTGGCATTTTCAGAATCAAATTTTCTCATTTTCTCTGATTTGTAAGCATTCTGTAGTTCCTTCTCATAACTAGGGCACTTCTTTTTAACCACTATCAGCTGTTTGGAATAAGGCAAAACACTAGAGAAACAATAAAACATTTTTCTCTCTCATTTAAGAATACTGTATTTACCTGATCAAGAGACCGAGGCGTGGAATGAACTGGGATTGGATGCCAATTTAATCCTGGAAGCCATATTTCAGATACTGAAGGTGGCTGTAAACCAGCAAGTAGTGCCCCTGCACTCATTAAGCAGCGGTCATTGTAACTGCTCCTGACTAGGAGACGGTCAGAGGAATAGACTTCGCCAAGTACGTCTTTATACCTGGCCCTTAAGAAAGCTCCTAGATTGTACATCTGAAGTTTCCCTTTCTAGAAAAACAACATGATGCATGAGAGAAGGAATGACTGTAATGATTCTAAGAAAATGTATCCACTCACACTAATATTGATGTTTGATAAGAACTTACATTAGTGAGTGCGCCCCATCCTCCTGGCCAGTATTTTAGATCATTATAAGGGTCTGTTGGATAAGACTCAGTGGGATTTCTGTCCCCATGTCTGAAAATCTGACAGGCAACGAAAGAGAAAATATATTCAACTGGGAAATGTGCTGAAGATTTGTCTTCATTGAAGATACTTACCACATATGCTACTTTTATGGCAGGCCTAGCATCCGTGTCATTTTCTCCAAATGCTACATATGCAAAGAGAATGCTGAAGATAGCAAATCCCAGCAAACTGACAGTAATGCACTTCATCCTCTGACTACGTTGCCTGATTAAGTTGTTAGTTATAGAAAACCGTGATGACGATGCTGGTTGGTCATGGTATCGGTACCCCGGACTGCCAGTACTCATTTGGATTCCAGGTTGACACCTTGTACCTTATCTCTTGGCTCGGACTTTAGCGGACGATAAGCGTCCACAACCGCTCTGGAGCGGATCAGGCGAAACGTGACGGCGTTATGCAAGTACTGATAACATATATACATGCGCTGTGAATGTCCGTGTTCAAATAGAGTGCGTACCCTAGTGAATTCAACAAGTAGCGACCAGGTTATGATCCAGCCGTGTAACCGTCACTACAAGATTTCTGACCGGCCTGACTATTAACTTGCCTTTATATCCCCCGCTTTACACACAACTGTCACTCCTGCTCCTGTCGTCACGACGTATCCGTAAATTTCCTTACCGAAATATGAACTCACAAGCGCGCCATTTGGGAAACGGAGAAAGTCAGCTGATATGCATGTTGTTGTTTTATTGACATTGCGGGAGGTGGGAGGCTAAACAACAACAACACCAAGAGGACCAAATACTTGTTGAGTGGAATAGAGAAATATTTCTCCAACCATGCATTTGTGAGGATTTCATGGGTATTGTATTCACGCCCGTTTAACTAAAATGTTGAATATATAATGCTGATAGTAGCACTATTTCAGCAGTCATCTAAATCCCTCCTGATTCTAATGGCCCTGAGAACCTTTCTCTTATGTTTTTAAACTGTTCTCAAAAGTTATCAAGAGTCGTTAGAACGGAAAAAAATGTAGGAATTTAAAAAAAACATTCAAATATTTTATTTTATTATACAATAAAAAAAAAATCTTTGCTCAACAGAATGATTTTTAGAAATAGAGCAATTCCATTTTTAATACACATGAATTTGAGACTCCATGTCAACTTAAATCAAAGGCACTTAAAATCTGGCAAAAGACAATATGTAAATAACTCATCTGTTACAATTTCAGACTAAATACAACTGGATTCATTTCATTTGCACACTCACTCAAATACTCACTATTTAATTTTCACACCAGTCAAAAGAATTAACTTGTACCACAGTGATTATTTTGTTGTTTTTTTTAAAAAATCATGCTTTCTTTTGTCACGTAAGTGACTGGCTACTTATTGGGAGTACACACAAGAAGGATCTCCATTTGATATGATTTCTAATACCATTAAAACAAAAACTATTGGTTCAATAGCTGCATGATAAACATTGTTAATAAAACTCTCCAGAACTAAATTCTAATGTTATCAAGTTGACTTTGAACATTTCAAAAAAAAACCTTACACAGCTAAAAATAATTGCCTGGTTGAATTGCCTGTAGCGTAAAAAATGGCCTTGTGCAGTGTTATTTATGCTAACCAGTGCTATTTGAAAAAAATAAGATTCACAACATATATCACAGGTTATCACACTACAGGATCTGCACAACCAGTAATTCCCAGAAAGTAATGGGAGACTTCAACTCAGCCTACCTTGACTATCTATAAACAAAAGTAAGTAGGGAAAAGGGGAAAAAAAATAATTTGTATATGTCAAGAGTAAAAAATAAACCTCAATAAATACTGTACTATAAACAAATCACAAACACAGATAGATAATTATGTACTCCTAGAAAACACATACATATCAAAAAGAGTGTTTTTGGTCAAGACTAGCATTGAACAAAAGCAAACAGAACCAGGCAGATCCTAGGGTGGTAAAGAGAGACAAAAAGTCACAATTTATTGATCAGCCTGCATATTCAAGTTCAAATAAAAGTACAGTACCAGAAGTTCTGAATTTTTATGTCTTATGGCTGCAAAATATAAATAGTAATGGTTGTGCTCATATACTTATTTGTAAATACAAATTCAGTCAAAAATACTTGGTAGAGTACTGTGACATTTCTTCTTTTGAAAATACCTGTACAACTATTGTGCACTTCTAAAGCTTGAGCTTGTCAACAGAACAGACTGTTTTTCTTACAAAAATATAGGTAAAAATCAGAAGATTTTAAATTGCAGGTAATGATCTTTTTTCTTGTTCAGTCAATTCTGGGTGCCAAATATCAATAATTAAAACAAGCCGCGTTGAGGATCCATTGTGCCAAACTTCATGTTCAAAGCTGTCATCAAATACAAACACTTTCCCTTCCTGCCATGATCTGCAAGTAAAGGATTAATTAAAGACTTAAAGATCACCCTGATACAGAATCTGTAATCTCTTGATTACTGAGCCTTTGCTCTGAAGACTGAGCAGTTCACATACCTTCTCTCTTCTCCAACTCGTAACTCAGTGCCAAGAGGTACAATCAGTCCAAGATGAGCGCGGAGGCGACAGTTTGTAGGCCCACAATGAGGCCATACATGAGTGTTTGGGTGCATAACACTAAATTTTGCCTGGCCTCTTCGACAACTATGTGCTGCAGGAAATTGAGCAATAAGTTGACAGGTGACAGGTGCTCTTTTGCAATTTGATGGAATCTGTTGGCCTGTAGTGAAATATTGTTATTGTATTATTATCCATTGTATAATGGTACATTGAAGGGTAAAAGTCATAAATTATTAATAACCAACAAAAAATCAACAAATAATAAACAAACCTCTAGCATATAATTCAAGTTGTTTCCATACACCTTTATCACGCAAATTTTCTACTTCATCTTTGAATGCACTAGTTTTGCCGTGTGATTCTAAAATAGCCACAGCCTCATTTCGTATTTCTTTCCAGTGTTCCTCAAATTTTCTGTTAAAAATTAAAGGAAGGAGGAGAAGGCGGACGTTACTATTATAACTTGAATGGATACAAATACGTATTTAGAGACAAATCTTGCTGTACCTAAACTGTTTTTCATATGTCGTTTGCTGTAGAGACCACCATGGACGTGCTGTTAACCGATCAACATTGTACAAAGATCTTTGGTACTTTGACCTAAACAGTCCCTTTTCAACCCCAAGCTCATACACCTGTTTTAAAGAAATAAAAAATATAATAAAAAAATACATACTCTGAAATTTCTTTTCCAATATTTTGACATAATACTCCGTACCTTGTCTGCCTGAATGTACTTCCCCAGCCTATTGTAGGCATCACCTAGGTGGAAAAGAAAACGAGCATCCATTGTGCCAGGTTCTCCAGAATCAATACCAGCCTGCAGAAAATGGGATCCAGCCTCATTGTCATTCTCACTTGTCTTGAGGATAAATCCGTAGTGGACAAGAGCAAAACCATCAGAGGGCCACAAACGCAGTATCTCTTCCAGCATGAGCTTGGCTGAAGAAACTCTTAAATTGGATAGTAAAAAAATATATTAATGGTGTAAGTTTTTTAAGTAGGACAATCACAACAACAAAAATTACCTAAACGGAATTTTTTTTAAGATCTTCACCTTCCAACCATGAGGTACGAAACAGCTAAGTCGTTGCGATGTCTAGGATCTTTTGGAAACCTGTTTATTAACATTTTGTGGACACTTATAGCATGTCCATACTGACCTAGGATGTATACCAATGACCATGAGAACAATAATAAAATGAACAAGACCAGTGAAGAGAAATCTGACATTCTGATAAATACTTAACATACCTCGAAACCTCATTCTGTTTATGGTGCGGTTGGCAAATTTCAGAAAGAGATTGTCAGTAATATCCCTCTTTTGTAACAATGACAAGTAACTTGTTATTGCATCTTCCAGTAGATTATTACTGCGTTTCTTTTCAGCTAATTTGTCTAGGGCCTGAGCTTGAAGTGACAATAGAGCTATTTCTTCTGGGCTGGATTCAAGAAGTCTCTTCACTTTGTTCAAGACTGCTTCAGGATTCTACAGAAATGGCAGATGAAGGAAAGGAAAGGAATGGAAATTGGTAAAGGAGCTTCACAGCATAGGTAAACACAAACAACTCAAGGGATATGTTAATTACATTAATAAGTTAATACATATGTCAAGGTAGACCAGAGAAATAAAATAGTTTTGAGATGGAATTAAGAAAAGAGTAGAGAAAGAGAACAAGCTTGACTGGAGAATAAACCCTGTTCCCCCCTCCCCATCCTCAAAAAACAAGAAGAAGAAAAAGACTAAATCAAAACAAATTGGGCTGTGAAATTAAATGAATTATTTATACCATACCAAAAAAAGGAAAAATGTTAGTACGTATCTAAGACAAAAGGTAATATGATAAGAAACAGCATAAATCAGGCAATGCACAAGCACACTTTCTCCTATTATTTTAAAATTGATGTTAAGGTGGGTGCTAAATAGAAGAAACTGCGAATTTCATTGCAAAACAAAACACGAAATAAAAAACCAATACCAGCCCATACTTCACTTAAACTTTAGAGTGCCC